AACATGTAGGTAGGTAGGTAGGTAGGTAGGTAGGTAGGTAGGTAGGTAGGTAGGTAGGTAGGTACGTAGGTAGGTCGGTAGGTCGGTAGGTCGGTAGGTCGGTAGGTCGGTAGGTCGGTAGGTCGGTAGGTTGGTAGGTTGGTAGGTAAGTAGGTAGGTAGGTAGGTAGGTAGGTAGGTAGGTAGGTAGGTAGGTAGGCAGGCAGGTAGGTAGGTAGGTAGGTAAGTGGCATTTACAAACGAATGTACACATGTCCATCCATCCATCCATCCATCCACCCATCCATCCATCCATCCACCCATGCATCCATGCACACATACATACATACATACATACATACATACATACATACATACATACAAAACATGAGTACACATATATATATATATATAGAGAGAGAGAGAGAGCGAGAGAGAGAGAGAGAGCAAAGATAGAGAGACAAGAGAGAAAATAACAAGAGAGAGAGAGAGAGAGAGATAGAGAGATCGATCCTGCATAGCACCTACAGGAAGACTTGTTGCGGATTCTTGGTGCCTACAGAGTTCTAGATGGAGGACCAGACTTAGGTAAGGCCACAAATTTCATAATTGGAGCAATAAATAGGCGCCACCGAGATTAGCTAATTCGTCACCCCATCGAAGTCTCATGATCCTGGAACACCTAAACTCCAAGATACAGAGCTCGAAAGGTCTTAAGCTGGAATTTCACGTTTAGAGCCAGGTCACGGTCTCACCTGGAGACTGAAATTTAGGGTCCTTGATGATGAGATAGGGTTGTGAGGAAAGACAAGTGCGACCATAATAAGTAAGCCTGCGGGAACGTTTACGGCCAGTATATTACCCACGGCAGTCGTCTCTGCACCGTATATGGGTAGTCTTCTAAATTAGGGTCCCTTTTCGGGTCCTCTTTTGAAGGGTGCCGCACTATATTGGGGACCTAACAAGGGACCCTAATTTAGAGGACAACCCATATATTCTGAGGCAAACTGCAATGAGTGTGGGTAGTCGGGGGTGCAGGTAGCATCCTCCACCCCAAGCCGGGTGTAAGGATGGGAGTAGTTCGGGCGGTACTACTGATGGATGCAACCTCTAGCAATCAGAAGGAATACACCATGATTCCGGTGAACTTTCCAGCCCATAACATGTTGTCAGAGTTTTCGGGTCTGCCGAAGGGTCCATACAAGCTAGTGGGTTCGGGTAACTATGTAATTATGTTTTTTTGTCCGAGGTCTCACAGCAGGGTTTTGGTGTCTAAGTTAAGGCAGTGGGCTCGCTGCTTGTTCAAGAGACAAAAGCCAAGCAAAGCTGCGCCTATCTGAGGTCCAGCATTTAGGATTCAACTATCAGTTGCAAGGCACAGACAGGACCCAGGTTGACCTACTCTCTTCTTCAACAACCACAAACTTTTTAGGATAGACCTAATATATGAAACCAAAAAATTTAAAGTTCTCCCATTGGCTATCTAAGCCTAAACACCTCGAGCCTGAATTAGTGAGACATAGGGAAAGCAACCAAGTTCTCGAACACAGGGATCTTGCAGCACGATGAGCTGCGCTGAGCTGTCCATGACGCGTGTGCTGGATTGTAAGCTGTCTCGGAAACCCTAACACTCAAAATAGCCCAGCTGAGGTACTATTCGCAGACTTGACTATTCGGAGTGTTACGGAATCACACAAATTACACTACAGGGCCCGATACGAGGGGCCTGTGCCGGGACGCCCGTGATCTCCGCCAAGTCGCGGATGTTGTAGAAGCGGCACCTGGCAGGCAACCCAATGGCACCAGCCCTAAATCCTAAACCCTAAACCCCTAGCTCCAGCCCTGAACCCTAAAGCCTAAAGCAGTTAGAACAACCAGGTTTGGGGGGGATCCTCAGGATAAATAGAATGACTTAGACAGGCTGGTGGTCTCTTCATCTGTTCCTTATACTACCTCTTAGTAAATATTGTAATCAGGATCCCGGCATACAGCCCCTACAAGCAGAAAACCCGAGTGAAGAGAGCGACCTGTAACCCATTCTTGATACAGTATGTAAAGACTGAGTTCCACAACCCACCATACTCGAAAGCCACCAAATGCCCAATCCCCAAGGCTAGCTCCAGAATCACAAACCCTAACCTAAAAAACTCGAACGCGAAGTCCCAGTCTTAGACGTTTTTAAGCAATCTTAGCAACACTTGAACGAAAACTCAATACTTCACCCAATTACTTCCTAAATCCTGGTGCCCTGTATCCTAAACCCCATGTAGCCCTTCGAAGAGCCTTGTACATGCACCCTCTGAAAGGAAGGCTACTCACCAAACCAAACCCCTGCCTGTTGGTCATGTAATCCAGTGGCAGGTTGTTGCTTCGAGCAGCGACCTGTGCGAACAGCACCCATGACGGCGAGCTCCGAAAACGTAATTGTGCTAGTGACCCAACCAATTTAAACATCTGTGGGGCCACTGTTCCTTAAACTCTATATAGGCCTGTTGTAGTACCCAGAGCCCAGTCCATGATATGATAGGTAGCTGGGCCCTTGGTCAGTGCTGATGCTACCACAAGAATTTGAGAACGATAGTGATTTCACCATGCCCATGTAGGTCTTCAAATAGTGACACAGCACCACGAAGACCAAAACGACTAGGACCCCAAAGACTCCATTTTCCCTTAATTAAGGAATATACCTTAAATCATATTAGGGATCCTACTATAATTTAAGGTATATTCCTTAATTAAGGGATATTGGAGTCTCTGGGACCACCAGGACTTTCAGAAGATCACGACCACCAGGAGGAGACCTTTAGGAAATCACTGGGCAAGCCCCCGGGTTTCCCCATGTACTGGCGGAGTCAGAGGTGTGTGCCCACCGTTTAGGGTTTAGGGTTTCGGGTTTAGGATTCCCCGGTACTGGCAGCAGACTATTGTGCCAACACTTAGCCAGACGCTGGCTGACGGGATTCAAACCCAACATCTCTTCCCCCAAGTACGGCGGGATTCAGACCGTTCAAGGCCAAAGAAGGCCAATGCTTTATGGTGGACCTGGCTTTCCGGGCACAGCGGCTGCAAGGATCCTGCACAAATCATCGGAGAAGATCTCAGTAAAGAATCAAAGATACGACACGACGATATAACGTGGTAATGCGTTAGCTTCTCGTGGTGCTTGCTTAAAATGATCACGGTAGCAATGTCCATGGGGTGCCCTATTTTTTTTTTTTTTTTTTTTT